AATGCATTTAATTTATATGTAATTAAAATATTCAATACTTTTATAGAACGATATTGTACACTTTTCCACTTTTCAAATACAGAGAAACTACAGAACGTTCCCATGTTAGTCTAAATGTATATTCATCTGAACTAAACTCAGTGGCACAAAACAGCCCTATGGGCCATGGCCTGCAGTGGCACAAACATCCCTAGTGGGCCATGGCCTGCGTGGCACAAAAAGCCCAGTGGGCCCTAGTGGCACAAAACAGCCATGGCCTGGCCTGCAGAGCCCCAAAATCTGCTTTCTTGACCGTTGGCCCGGTATGCATGAGCATATGCCCTGGACAAGTGGTCAGCTTGTCACAGGAACCCCGGTGTTTAGTCCCCAAGCGAACTTCGTACTTATTTTATCGAACCACCAAGGAAAAAACAGCTGAGTCAACCTTTGATCTGTGGTACTGCTGAACGACGCGTTAGCCACTGCGCCACCGGTCCCAGTATATTTATATAGCATGCTATAAAATGTTACACCATTCCACCTCGGCCATCTCTATTGATAATCTCTACTGATAAACTAGACTTTAAAAGAGCCCTTGTGGGCGATAGTTAAAATGTTAACCCTTTATTTACTTTTTCAGAATTAAAAAGGCTTTGTATAATGTATGTTATACAAAGTCTTTGTATGTTGCCTTTTAATTGCTGTACGTTGAATGTTGCAAGACGTGTATGGTGATGCAAACTAAGATATATGCTAACTACTAATTAACATATTTAGAAAATGCGTAAGCTATAAACTAAGGTCTAGCAAAATTTTACTTCTTTTTACCAAGAGTAATTAATAATGGTACTTAATTTCAGTCTTCAGTATCCAAGAGTGTTTATACATTTACCCTTTCGAAAACTATTTCTTTCTAGCATTTCATTCAACATTTCATTGTTACTAGTGTCAATGATATGGTCTACTACTAAGAGAATATGTATGAAGTGTACGGTGTACTACTACATCACTGCAGTTGCATGTCGTATGTATAGTCTGACTTACGTGACCACGTGTCATATGTATAGTTTGACTTAAGTGACTACGTGTCATATGTATAGACTTTGTATAACATGCATCATACAGACTACACGTATGACACGTAGTGCATGGTCTCCCTGCATATCACATATATAGTCTGTTTCTGGGCCACTATGACTATGTATGAGTTTTATAGGTTATCACAAAGTCATTACTTTCCGATTTTGATCAATTTACCTTTACGAGCATCTTACGCCTTTGGAAAAGTAAAATCATCAAAATCCTCAGCGTCTATTTTATTCTATCGTAATGCAGTTTCAAATGTTCTCATTGCAATACACCACACTGTCTTAGAATTTAGAATTTTCGGTATTAGTCTAGATTATTATGTAACTAACATATTTCTTCACTTTTCCTTAAAAAAATTTCCTGTTACCTTCTTTAAGACCACAATGCCCAAACGTACATTATAGTTTCATTTACACTTGCATAAGTTTTCCATATTAATAATTAGAAATTTATTTATATATTTATTTAGAGCAGGCATGTCTGATTCGCGACCAGCTGGCAACATGCGACCCTTGTATCATTTTTCTGTAACCTTCGATTGTCCCCGGGAAAAAATGAAAAGTATATAATTTATAAAAAAAAAATTGTAATTCCTCCCAATATCAAGAAGTATGTACAACTTCTTGCGCTTGAAAGGATTCTTGAGGCGCTTTTTTTTTTTTTTTTTTTTTTTTTTTTTTTACAAAAATACTTTTTCAATCCACATTAAGAAGAGAATGGCCGAATTAAAAAAAAATTACTTGCGTAGCAAATTCGCATTCTACGTGATTTTCTATTCCGTACTACGTGTCAATGCTTCACGTATCAAACGAAGCAAACTCCCAGCGAGATACATATGTTAATAGACATCTACTTGACCTCTGTTCTCAAAATCCGCTAGTACAAAAAAGCGCACCAACGGCTCAGCGACAATTCGCTGAACAGGCCAGTTTTCCTGTAGTAAGTTTTTTTCATGAAGGCATACTTCCTTTTAGGCATATAGCCCTCGTATGGTTTTCCTTAATGAAATAAACCAATGAGCTACTGCAAGCAGCATACACCCCAGACGTTCGAAAGTTGGTTAGAGGAAAAACTAGAGGACTTTGGTTATCTCATCAGCTACCCACAAAAGTAAAATGCGGTAAGATATCAGTCATAAACTTTACAAAACTAGAATTTAATTGAGTTTTATTGAACCTGAATAGGAGCATCACACAGCCCTTTGAATATGTGCTTACTTTAAAACTCATTTTATTCAAAAAGGCGATTTTTGAACATTTACATTCCCTTTCCTCCAAGTTTTTATTTGGTATGCTTAAAGATTTATGTGGCAGATCTGAGACTTCAGTACTTTGGATTCGTTTATTAGGTCACCCTACAAAAACATGAATCACAAACTTTTGTACTTAAAAATACAAACTTAGGTTAATAGCCTGAAGTAGCCTCATTTATCCAGCTTACTATCTGTAATTTGGAAAAAGATCTGAAAAGTGTTTCTTAAATAATAGCATCTATTCAGTATTTATTGTTTACATGAGCATAAGTAATAGACGCAAATTATTTTTAAAAAACCAAGCAATACTTAAAATTTCCAAAAATCCCTAAATTCTAAATCTAAGGCCTTTTTCTGAAGTCATTGATGCAACTGCTAATAATTAAATGGATGTAGTTGTCGTGCATAGCCAGATGTACTGACGATGCAAAACAACTTCCTCATGCCCTTCATCATAATATATTTATTGTCTCCTATATCTAAACAATGCTGTAATTACAACGCATTTAAGCTCTAAATCAAATCTGACTTATCCCAGCCTATTAAAAGTCATTCTTTAATGCATTATCTCAGAACTGTTTTCAGTTTTGAAACATTTAAATGCTAAGGCTTTTAACTATAATAGTTAAAAGCTAAATTATGTTTTTCGCAACAAAGATGTTAATAAAAGCATGCATTATTTTTTATTTTCTTATGAAATTTTTATAAAAATTTCTTACATTTTAATTTATATAAAAATTTAATATTATAATTTAATTAAACATAATCATTTTAACTATAAAAATTTCTTCTTTTTCTTTTTACTAAACCCCACTCATTTAAATTTTCTCTTGATACTTCTATTTAAATGATTTAAGCTTTTGTTATTAATTTTTGTTCAAAATCTTGAAAAATGAAGGAGAAGTAGAATTTTAATATTTCTTGAAAATTCATTAAATTAATTTTTAAAAAAGTATGTTAATAATTTTGGTCTTTTGAACCTCTTAAGTAGTTTTTAAATGTGGTCTACAAGGTATAGAAATTTGTTATAGTTAATGCAAAAATAAAAAAAAAAGTTTTGAAGGCATCAGACCCCCTTAATGTATTAATATGAAAATAAATATTGTTAAAATGCCAATAAGCGAAAATATTATTTTTCTCAGAATGTGCGTACTTTCTAAATATCATATAAAAAGTCCACTTCCATATGATGGACCATATTTTTTTTCTTCAGCTTGATCTCTTCGAAGCTGTGCTAATTTTATACTACGGCGCATATGTTGATATTTAGAATTGGTATGTTTCTTTGATGATCTCATTCTTATGATATGACGTCTATGAGATATTTTGTCGCTTGATTCACCAAAAGATAACATAGAAATATCTTGAAACTTGGATAAAGCTTGGATAAAAAAAAAGGAGTGACACCTGCAAGTGAGAAAGAAAGTGATTAGCAGCGCCCAGATGTAAACAATCAAAGAAGTCCCTTTAAATGGTTACAGGAATTACGAGTGAGTGCGACATTTGGCGTCATATCTCGAAAAGTAATCCATATTTTTCAATGCGGTTTTTTGTGACTTATTCAGAATTGTTTAAGTATTAAAAATAAATAATAAAAATTTTTACGATGATTTGACCATTTTTAACGTATCAGACGCCCTTAAGATATCATCTTAAAGCAAAAAAGTTAGACATTAGTAGCTCTCTAGCTTTTTCTGAGCACAATAATGTATGAAATTATAATTCGTATTTCTATAATTTTTTAAGAGTGTTGCACTTATAAATTTGTAAATTATTTCGAAGGGGCCTTAAGAACATGTTTAACAAAAGTACCAAAAATTGTACTTCTTGCAAGACAGCTGACAAATTTCTTGCATTGCATTTCAGGTTCCGCAGCATTTGATCACGCGCCTCAGTCCTTTACGACATCCTGACGGTCTTCTGAGTTCGATGTTGGGTCTCAAGTTTGTTGTCGTTCCTGCTCACCTTAAGAACGGCATTCTGACGCTGACGTGCACAGCTTTCATCTCAAAAGCCTACCTGACGACAAAGAGCGAGATCGTTGCTACAAACAAACCGAAGATCGCTGAAAACCACGCAAGTAATAAACGAATGAATTGAGTCATATAGTTGCTTTTTGTTGAAACGATGAACATATAATATGTTCAGCATGTTAAATAGACGCTGCTTTCTTTAATCCTAAATTCATTTAGAAAGCTTAAATAATTTTTAATATCCAGGTCACCGATTATCACTTCCCAAGAGTCGTACAGCAATTGCACATGATAAAATTGAATCTGAATTCGATGTTTGTAATGCAAAATGTCACCAATCTTAAAGTGTGATGAACTTCAAATGAAGTCAGAGGCTGAATTTTGTTGATTGTTAACAGACAATTTGTTCAGTGTATCATTTTTCCTATATATATTTCTTTCTAGCTATGTCACGTATTTGCAAATTCAAAAGGGGGGAACTCAAATAATGAAATATGTACTTTCTTAAAGGTTTAATAAGAAATTCTCCCTTCGTAATTTCTATTTGGACCAATTACATTTTTTATGGTGTCTCATATTAAATACCTCAAAAAATGTACATTATTATGTACGTTTTTCTTTTTCAAAAGCAAAATGAACTTTACATTATTGTCCCATAATATTCGTGGCTATTTTAGACAAGACTTTTATCCACTTTAGTCCAGCGATGGCTATGGAAAGAGCTCAATAAATGCAAATCATGCGACCCTTATGGATCAAAATTTGCTTTTATACTAACTAATATTTTCAAACAATAGCTGCAAATTTAACACTAAGCTCTGTTTAGCCTAGAATGTATCGTCAGTTTTCAAAATGACTAAATTTTCTTGGTAGCTGTTCAGAGAAGTAACATGTTAAGTGAACATCATATTCTTGGGAGAAAATATTAATTAATTAAGACCTTAGCAATGCATTTTTTAGTCATTGACATCTTCACAAAACTTTCAGCATTAGAATGCTACGTAATAATATTCTGTTTTTAAAATCATTTGAAAGTACATATTCGGAACTGATAAAATAAAGCATGGCATTTTCATGGCGTACCTGCTTTTATATTTTATGTTTTAAGATATAGAGAATAAACTGACTTTGTCCTATCTGAAACAATTAATGTTGTAATAAAATGCAGTGATTACCTAATTAACATAAAATAAGCTTAAAAATAATATATATGCATAAATGTGCACTGCGAGGGGGGGGGAATGGAGTTCTATATCTCGCGTTCTACTGGGCTGATTGAAGAAATTCAACATGCGTTTTTCATGTCTCGAAAGTGCGACTTAGGATATGTATTATATTTATATATAGCATTGCTCTAATGTAGGTATTTTGACACAAAATCGAACTTTTTCTGAATTAACATACCAATTTTTTGCATATTTAAATTCTAAGACTCAAATTACGCCACACTACCAAGTTTTGTAAAAATCGCAAGGGTAGTTTTTAAAACATTAGCTCTCAAAATTTTACCTCGTCAATGTTAAAATTGAGTTCGGTATATATTTATTAATCTCTTATTTTTTATTAACTTATTTGATGCTTCCTTTGACATTTCAAAATTCTGGTTCATTCCAAATAAAATTCACCCATTTTTAAGATTTATTTTTAAAATTTGTATTTTAAAATAATTTTTACAAATTTTTCAAAAGCGATTTTGATTTATAACCTATAAAACTTTTACCATCACCTTAAAGTAGACGTAAGTCTAAGCATACCTGCAAAAAATTATAGTTTTATTCAAAATTTCCGAAAATATATGCGAATTTTTAATACTGGCAGATTTTGAAATTTGGCATATTTGTTGAAAGCGATAAAACATCAAATGTGGTTTAGACACTTAGCTAAAATTATTACACTCAGCTAAAATTATTTGAAGGTAGGAACGAAGTGGCTTTTTTTCTGCTCCTGCCCAAAGTAAAAAGGTAGGAACGAGGTGATTTTTTTCCGCTCCGGCATAATGGAAGAGAAAGGAAAGTTGGTTGCTATATATTAAGAAGTTCGCCACGTGAATTGTTCTTGGGGCAAACTTAAAAAAGTTGCGCCAAGATAAATTTTTTAATTTCTCCGTAAATTTCGTAAAGAATCGAAATATGGAAAAAAATTGGTATGTTATTTCAGAAAAAGTCCGATTTGCTGTCAAAATACCTATGTTAGAAAAATGCTACGTATAAATCTAATATATATCCTAAGTCAAGCTTTCGAGACATGAAAAACGTAATTTGAATTTTGTCAATCGGCCCAGTAGAACGGGAGATATAGAACTGCCTCCCTTTTTTGTTTCGCAGTGCCCATGAAAAGGAAATGAAAACAACTTTTAGTACGGTATTAATTACTAAAGAAAGTATTGTTGAAAGACATCACATTTTAATGAGATGCTGTTCTGTCTGCATACTGTATAAAATCTTTGTGAACTCATTAAGGTTTTTTTTTTTTTTTTTTTTTTTTTTTTTTACTACGAAATATATGATAAATATTTTGGAATATTTTTTTATGGCTTTTATCATTTCTCACTTTTTAAATTGCTTTAAATCGTATATTTTATTTATAGTTATGATACTGAAGAATTTTCAATAACAACGTATGGACAACTTATCAAAATTATAACTGTTTCATTATTTTTTTGAAATTACATTTTAAATAATCAAGAATGAAAACAGTTCTTGACTGAACACTTTTACTGAATTCATTAAAATTGGAAAAACCATGCTTTCTTCTGTCTAAACATGGATATATGTTTTTCTGCTTTCTTTTTTCATTTATTATAAAAAATTAAATTAATAAAAAACGATGTGTTCTTTCATAAAGATCGGGATTACGATACCGATTAATATTCCTTTGTCATTTTGATTTATACGTACGACTTTTAACTCTTTTTTAAAAAAATATGTTTTCTATGGCTATGCTCTTAATGGCACCTACGTTTGATTTTCCGAATGGAATTATTAAAATTTTACTATATTTTTAAAAGCAAATACAGACAAAATTATTGAAAAAATGAAGTTTTTTTCCCTTGAATAAATATTTATTCCACTTTAATTCCACCATTCATACTTTTTAGAGAAATGAGATTTTTTAACACTATTGTCATTTTTATTATTTCATAAAACCCTAAGCAGTATAAATCTAATTTTATTTTCATTTGAAAACAGCTTTTAAGTTCTTCGATTAAAAAATTGTTTAAATCAGCAAAGCAAGCTTTGTACACCAGACAAATATATATTTTTTTATTGGAGGCTCACTTACTTTTTCTACCACTTAGAAAGCCTCCAACTTGGGAAATGTGCTTCTTAGGTCTATTTAAGTCCTATAGACTATTCTATTTATACCTCAGTACCTTAAGTTGTTTTCTAAGGGACTGTCTTCGCAACGTGCCATCTTAGTAAAGGGTTATTTTCCTAGGGCATCTTTGCAAAGGTGTTATAACTTACGTTATATATGCCAGTGCCAGAAGTATTAAAATACTAATACAGTGAGTTGCTCGCTTTACATGAACAGTCCTATTAATGGGAAAAAATATACGCAAAATTAGAATGCGTATATTTTAAAATCTGTATAAGTATGCAGCACAGTTCAGCTGGAATGAAATTCTTGCATTACACGAGGAATTATATTTCTGTTTTCTGAACTAGACTATAGAGGTTGGTCTTCTTAGGTAACAAAAACTGGACCCAAACTCTTAAAAACTCTATGTTAATTTCACTATGTCTTAGTGGTATCACAGAGATTGGGAAAGAATGTAACTGACCTGTAAGGATTATGCTAAGTTTATTAACAGTTAATACCACTTCCGGCCAGAACGTAGTTTTAGAATCACTAATGAGGAAGAGCGGTATTTAACCGCGAACTTCTACTGTCTTAGTGAGAGAGATACCAGATATTGCTGATACCAGCTGCACGCGTCCGCATTTTTAGGCTACTTTCTCGTAAGCTATTATTACGCTCGGCCATACTTTAGGCCCTTGATAGCTTCGCAGTCAATTAGCATTAAGGGGCCAACTCTGTTAGAATTTTGATAGCTTCGGCTATATCTCTTTAGTTAAGATTAGTTTAGTTTAATTCTTAGTTTTTCAAGTTAAAGTCCAAGTGTCGGCTTTATTGTACAACTCCAAGACGGAGTTCTGTTACACTTGATTGGAATAATAAAGGGCTATTTTACCCTTTTATCTTGTTGTTTCCTGTCACACAAACTCAAGCGATTATTCGTTTATTAGTTATTAAGATTCTTCACTTTCAACGGTAACTTAGAATTACGCAGTGGGGAATCCTACAGACCCTTTTATTAAGCCAATTAAAAGTTTAATATACGGCACCAACTCGTGCTTACAGTAACCAACAGTTATAGTTTAAATCAAAGTAGGCCGGCATAGCAAACCTAATGGCGATAATAAATCTGCAGAATACTATTCTCAAGAGAATTCAATTAGCAACGTGACTTCAAGCAGGCAGCGCACGCTCTAATTCTACCTTCTAAAACCTTTCTTTAAATAGTCTCTTCTTTCTACCGAATTTGAATATAAAGCAGAAAAAGGGAAATTAGAGCGACATGACAGAAAATCTCCATAAAATAACTCGTTACAAAATAAAACGTAACTCTACAGTTTTTCCTGCCATAATTAATTATACGCAAAGCAGGCACTTAAGTACATCACTAAGAACTCAATTCTAAATACGTAAGACTTCAGAGCCAACTCTTTAAGCATGGAATTTTAAGTAATTAATTTTAAATTTGCATAACAAAGCGTTGAATTCTCTTCCAATGGCAATATTTTGGCTTCCGAGCTCTTTCCAGATATCTGGAAGGCAAAAGACTTCAGCAGAAAATTTTAAATCATGGTACATTACTTCAGTTTACATTATCGCTTTTCAAACATTTCATTTATATTTATCAGAACTTTCATTCAAGTCATGTATTCTATGAATAATATCTGTTCCTTCCACCCTTCTTTTTTAGGAAAACTGTATTGTAAAGATCGAGACAGCGTCTTTTGTATAAGTAGCACAACTTCACCAGTTGTTTGTTCATCCAATGTTCCTTGCTGGTAATAATGCGCTTTAAAAAGGACTCTAT